TTTAGTAACTAGTCGCTTGCTTATGGTGCAAGAAAAGCAGTGAAAAAATTTCATTCATAAGGTTTTCAGTCAGTCTCTGAAGCACAAGGAAAAATCTCTAATGTCCATTGTACATGTATCCTTTCTTTGTTTTTATTTAATCATCCTGAAATGCTACAGTTTGATATATTTCTCCCTACTATAACAACAAAACTAAAGAATTCTGTTTGTAGCAGGACCCATGAAGGGTGTAATGAAACCAGTCCCTGTCATTTTTACATACTTTCTGCCTGTACAGAGTAAATTTAAATTAGCTTCATTAGCAACCAAATTATATGCATTTTTGTTTTTAATTTAAAGTCTAGGAAATGCCAAGGGGGCTTTCTGAGAAAGAGAAAGTCAGCCCTGATATCCAGGAACTGGCCTGGTATGAGCAGGTCAAAATTCTATTGATATACCCAGTGCCCATATCTTGGTCTTTAATAATATTCTCCAATTAAAGAAAACAGGACTTCTTGAAAAAATGGCTGGCTCTAGGAGTTTGGAGTATCTTAGAATGCCCCCAAAGGCCAAAGCTGGAACAAGTTAAGCAACAAAATTAACATGTAGTATTGGATATAACCCAAAATATAAATTAATGTCATTAAGTTCATACTATATAAATAAATGATGAACGAAAAGAAGGAATGAAAAAAATAGAGAAATCAACCATACAAAGAATTACATTTTATTTACGTAGACATTCTCTCCTCAAGGAGGTAGAACTAATCCCAGTTTTCTTAAGTATCAGTTGTACTTGAAGATTTGCTTCAAAAGAATACAATATAGTCCTTCCCTGGTGGTGCAGCAGGTTAAAACACTGCACTAAGCCACTTTCGCATGAGTTTGATCCCCGCCTGCCCGGGAGGACACCCACATGGCGTGGCAGACCCCTCTCCTGACCCGCCCGCTGCTCTCCTCAGCAGTGTACTTTGTCGATCTGACTGTTTTGCTCCCTACTCTGTACCTGATGAATCCTCTCACCCTCCGCTTCTCTGCCTGTACCCCAGTTCTGTATGCATAAATAAATAAATCTTAAAAAAAAAAAGAATACAATATAGAAGAAGGAAAGAAAATAACTTTGCAGTGTAAAAACCTGGCAAAGTCTAAATAAGCCATGGTTAAATATGATTAGTGATAAGTCACATTGATAAAAGTATTGAGAATGGTACTTTACCTTTGTGGTCTTCATCCCCCAGATAACTATGAGAAACATCAGGCAAACTCTAACTTTCAAAAAATGTGCAATCTTTGTCAGTATTTATACTTGTCAAGGTCATCGAAAATAGCTTCATCTAGCCTAAGGAGACAGACTAGACATGGTTTCCTCAGTGGGATCCTGGAACAGAAAAATGACATTAGAAAAAAAATAGTAAAATCCAAATGAAAGGTGAAATTTAGTTAATAATGCATCCATATTGGCTCATTAGTCATAACAAATGTACCATACTATTGTAACATGTTAGCAAAAGGAAAAAATGGTTGAGAACTATACAAGAATTCTATGTACTTTACTGTAAACCTGAGACCATTCTAAAATAAAAGGTTTATTTAATGTAAAACTTAAAAAGAAGGAATTATATAGGAGGAACATTAGGCATTCATTCTCAATTGTTCCATTTTAACATCTCTTGGAGAAATTTTAGGGGGACAATATTATGTTTTATTGCTTTCCACCCCTGCTCAGCCTCAAGTTCTCTGGGAAATAATTGGCTCTAAATTAAGCTAACCGAGTTTAGCATAAATGCAAACTTGTGAAACTGACTCTTGATAATAATACCACAGCATGAATTGGTAGTTTATTTTGTCGTAAGATGGTCTCTTGACTGATGCAAACATATGATTTTGAATAGGGAGAAAAAGAAGTATGTGTTCTTTCACTCAAAACCTCTTTCTAGCCACCGCTTCTCTCCCTCTTGATTTGTATCTCATAGAATCACTTTTGAATTAAATTACTTCCCACTACAATGACACTCTATGAATCAGGAGTTATGATTGGTTTATTCTTCTAGTATATCTCCCAGTTTAATGAATATTTGTTCAATGAGTGAATGATCATAACAAATGACTGGACAATTTTTTAGGGTAAAATTACATCATCTTCAATATTATTAAAGAGCATAGATGCAAAATTTCTTAACAAACTCTTAGCAAACTAAATTCAACAATATATCAAAGGGCTTATGCAGTATGACCAAGTGGTATTTTATTTTAGAGAAACAAAGATGGTTCAATATCCAAAAATCAATCAATGTAATTAACCATATCAACAAAAGGAAGGACAAAAACTATATGATTGTATCATTAGATGCAGAGAAAGCATTAGATAGAGTCAACATCCGTTTATGATAAATAAATTTCAATAAAATGAGGATATATGGCATGGAATAAGGCCATATACAATAAGTTCACAGCTACCATACCCAATGGAAAAACTGAAAGCTCTTCCTCTATGCCAATTACATCCAGTTTTTGGTAACAAAGGGATGCCCACTTTCACCACTACTATTGCACATAATGTTGGACTACCTAGATAGAGCAATTAGGCAAGAGAAAAATTTTTAAAAAT